ACGAAGCACCGCGTACAGAAGTACTTTGAGACTTTGGCTGCACTAACTACCGTGTACCAAAATATTTAGTGACTTTGGCTTTACTAGATACTGCGAACAAAAGTATTTAGTGACTTTGCCTTCACTAAATACCGCGAAAAAAAGTATTAAGAGACTTTGTCTTTACTAAGTACTGGATACAAAAGTACTTAGTATGTAGGGCTTCACTAAATACTTGATACCAAACCACTAAGTACTTATGTCTTGATTAAATACTAAATACTTGCATTAACTCAACGTAAAAATAAAAAAAATTCGGCATTTCCGAGACTTTCGGGACTATCTCAGTACTAGATAATATCGAGACTTCTTAGACATTTTGCCATTCTCGGGACTAATGGCGGGATTTTTGAAACTTTCGGCCATATTCTAGGATTTTGGAGACTACTTCGGGATTCTCGCGACTAATATTGGAATTTTTGGCCCTTTTCGGCATTTTCGAAACTACTTCGGTATTCTCGGGACTAATATGGGGATTTTTGGGTCTTCAGGAATTACTTCAGAATTTTCGTGACTACTTCGGGGTTCTCGCGACTTATATCGGGATTTTTGGGTCTTTGGGGATTATTTCGGGATTTTCGAGACTACTTGGGGGTTCTCGGGACTTATATCGAGAGTTTTGGGTCTTTGGGGATTATTTCGGGATTTTCGAGACTACTTCAGGGTTCTCGGGTATCCAGCAGCTCCTAAATACCCAAGTTGTTTTTATTTTAATATCTAACAGCTCTTAAATACGTAAGTATTTTTTCCTTGAGTATTTAGCAAACTCCTAAATACCTAAATATTTTCTACTTATGTATTTAGCAACTCCTAAATACCTAGGTATTTTTTACTTGAGTATTTAGCAAACTCTAAAATACCTAAGTATTTTTTACTTGAATACTTATTTAGCAAACTCCAAAATACTTAAGTATTTTTTACTCGGGTATTTAGCAGCTCCTAAATACCTAAGTTTTTTTACTTGAATATTTAGACATATCCAACTACTAAGTATTTGAGTATTTAGTACCCAGGCTAGTACTTTAAGTACAAAAGTATTTAGGTGTGCCCATCACTAGTTCAAAGGTGTTTGAACCAGGGTTGTTGCGAATATTCGCATTCGCATTCGCAACCGCGGAGCTTCCGCATTAATTCTAACATTCGCATTCGCTTTCGCATTCGCAAAAATCAATGCGGATCTTTTGCGAATGCGAATATTGAAGGGACCGGAAATTACAGTTATTTTTTACGAGTTAAACTTGGCCAAATATTTGTTATTCCGAAATAAAAGTCTTTTCCGGATAATAAACAACCCGCTTATCCAAATTAAACAAGTTTGGTATCAAATGAAAGAGGACTTAAATAGCTTTAAAACTGAAATGTCTAAACGAGGAAAGCCACATATTGAAAAATATTTCAATAAAAAATTTTAATTAATTACCATAGAACAAAAGTTGGGTCAGGTATGTATATGAATTTATTTAGTATATATTAAATTGTAAAAAAAAAATATAAATAGCGGTGTAACTTTCGTTCGTTATTTCTGTATAAAAGCTTTCTCAGTCCTCGTTCATATGATACCAAATTTGTTTAATTTGGATAAGCGGTTTATTTATTATACGCAATAGAAAATATTAGGCAAGTTTAAAGGCTCAGTTATGCATACTTTGCATTGCATGAGAGTTGTCACATAAGGAATATGTTAAATGAGCTTTGCGTGTAAGCGGTTACCTAACGCACAGCATTACATATGTATGTAAAAGTCTGTTGATGAAAAGAACTTACAATTTTGTCAAGTTTCAAGTTTTTTAAGTTTGTCGCCTCGAGCGAGTAGTTACAGTGACGAGCAAAACTGTAACATGGTGTAACACTTTTTATTTCAGCCACCGCTATATTTCCAAGTTCTAAACACTTTCATCCTTTTGTTGTATGTTCTTGTTGGTACATCCCTACTCTCTCTCTCATAACGATTTGAAGTCAATACAACAACAATAAAAAAACCAGCAGACAAAAAAGTGAATTAAGGCGGATGTTACAGTTTTGCACTCACTCTCAGTTTTGCAGTTTGACAGTTATCTCTTACTTAGTTGGAAGTCAGATGGCTTTTTTCTATATTGTAATTTATTGAAGAAGTGATCACCAGTAAATAACATAATTAATAAGGAACCATAACTGTAAATAATAGATTTACTGCGGAAAGGCGGAACCGCACGAAAAGTGGCAACAAATTTTGGAATTTGCTACTTGAAAATGTTAAGGCTTAGAAAAAATATAGCCTAAAGTGTTCCCAAGGACAAAGGAAGTATGTTAAAAAATATTACGGTACGATATCTTGTGAACTTAGCAGCAAGTAGCGATGCAGCCACTATTACAGAAGCGCTTAAGGTATTAAACTTTAGTGCAAATCAATAGACAGCGAGGCGAAGAATTGCCAAATTGAGCGCAAAGGCATCATAAAGAAGAAACAAGCAAATTTGATCATAATACATGTGCGAGTGTGGCAGCTTTTCGCTGCATCGCACGAAAACCGAACCGTTGCCTATTGGGATATGTTAGGCCGTTCAGAATGCAATAAAAAAATATTTTTAAGTTTCAATTGAAGGTTATTTGGTCTGAGAAGACTAAATTAATCGCTTTCAATCAGATGGCCGGGCATGGTATTGGATCAAAGACCCAAATTAAGCCTAAGCGCATCATGTAAGGCAAAATGTGAATCGCAGTGTTCGGTCAATAATAGTTTGTGGTTGTATTTCAAAAATATTGTTGGTCCGTTAGTACGCAGTATGCGTAAGGAACAGTATCTGTTCATATTTCAACAAAATGTGCAAGATATAGTCGAAAAATGAGAGTTTCTGCTGAAAAATCACCCAAAACATACTGCATATGTTCGCAAAGACTGGATACAAAAGCAAAAATTTGCTAACTTGAAATGACCTCCACAATCCGCGGACATGAATCTCATCGAGAATTCGCGAAATGAACTAAAAGCACAGCTTAATAAGTATCAAAGTCCGTAAAATCGAGTACATGAGCTGTGAAAGCAAACTAAGGATATACCTCCAGAATTTTTACAAAGATATGCCAAATCGCATCCAGGAACTGAAACAAGCAAAAGAGTACTGACCATTATGTTAATAGTTCTTTTTTTTCGTGAAAATTGTTAAAAAGTTCTTAAAAATATATGAGTGCAAAACTGTAACATCTGCCTTAATTTACATTTTTGTCTGCTGGTTTTTTCATTGTTGTTGTATATTATGAGAGAGGGAGTAGGGATGTACCAACAAGAATATACAGCAAAAGTATGAAAGTCGTTAGAATTTGGAAAGATAGCGATGGCTGAAGTAAAAAGTGTTACACCATGTTACAGTTTTGCTCGTCACTGTATATAGTGGCACAGGTTTGATTTACGACCCTTTAAAAAGTTTTTATCAAGTACAATGTTCCAATTTTTAAATTGAAGTACTAAAAAAACNTGTTTTTGACCGATATAACATTTCCCGTAGGTTTCATCCCATCCCGATTTTGACTGTCGCATAGTGTTATTACAATATGGGTATCAAGGTAAAGAGGTTTAAGAAAGATAACTGTTGGAAGTATTTTTGACAAGGGTTGCCACCTATTTGAANTTGCTCGTCACTGTATATAGTGGCACAGGTTTGATTTACGACCCTTTAAAAAGTTTTTATCAAGTACAATGTTCCAATTTTTAAATTGAAGTACTAAAAAAACCATTATTAAAAATTACCAACCCTTCCATTTTTTATTAACTTAAATCACCTAATTTGCTCACCTAAATTATTTATTAAAAATACATGACATCCGCATTCGCATCTGCATCCGCGGATGTTAGCTTTAAAACATCCGCATCCGCATTCGCATCCGCGGATATCTAAAATTCCACATTCGCAACATCCCTAGTTTGAACATATTTCCGAGGGCAAAAAAGTGATTATTTATGGACTGTATATATATGTATTTTATAAAAGTTTACTATATTCAATTTTATTACCCAGGCAGATATGTATCCATGCTCAAAGATATTTGAACAGTATTAGTGTTGATGATGACGATTTCTTGCGTAGTTCAAAAGCAATTCCTATTTTTGCTTTAAGAAATTTTCGATGGGATTCTCAATATAATCTTCCACCTTATACGAGTCGTTTAAAACTTATTAACCTTCCTACACTTGTCAGTCGCAGGGAAATGCTTGGTATAATTTGTATGGTTAATTTACTGACAGGCTCAATTTCAAGTCCGCTTTTTCTGGGTGAAGTTAGCTTAATGTTCCCTCTCGAGGATCAAGACACTTTTGTCCCCTATTTCTGAAAGCCTGTAAAACTAATTTTGATTTTAACTCTGATTTCAGCACGTTTGATATATCAGATCCGCTTTTCAGCATTAAGAAAGCGATACTATCCTCTTTCAATAAATGAATTACTAACATAAAGACATAAAATCAGCTGATGAATTTAGTTCTGTATCTGAACAGTTTTAGATCTCGACACTTAACAAACTCCTGCCTTTCGTGACTTGGCGCAAAATTGAAAATAATGCTTCCGTACGTAATGCGGACTGCGCCCCTCGTGCGGATGAGCGGAAAATGTGGGTCAAACCGTTGGAATTATTATTATTATTTCTTGTTTAATAAAGTTTTGCTTCATCCTTTTTGTGAAAATTACTTTGCAGGAGCCGCTATTAAAAGATTTGTGTCGGTTGATTTTGTCCGGGGATATTTTGTTACTGGGGATTTTTCTGCGTAGCTGTTGGAAATAATACATATATGTTTTTAACGTTAATACTGGTTTTAGAAGGAGCGGATTGCAAGATCCCCTATTGCGAGTATCTTTCGGGAAATTTCGTCTGGGGGTTATTGTTGCGGAGGATTTTGTCCGGGAGATTTTTGGCGGACAGATTTTTGAGCAGGGGATTTTGTGCATATGTAGGTAGAAATAAATATTAAAACAAATTGGTTGATCGCTTACCTGTCTTAAAAGTCGTGCCTTCAATATGACATTATCAGGCGCCTTCGCCTCAACCGGATCGTACATAGTTTCCATGTGCAGACTGAAAACGAATATTAGTGTATCTTTAATTGTCTGGACGATACGTTGAATTTGTTCCGTTTGAAATAGACGTCGCACCAAATAACCACGCACATGCGCATTAATTTTTGTCACTGCAGCAGCTCGTCGCCGTGCTTCCTCGCTTAAGTCAGAATTTTCTGCCTTGTACTGTTTTTATTGGAAAAATATTTTTTCGAATCGAAAATAAGTTTAAGTTGTTATTTTATTAAGTGTTTATTCCATTGCATTTTTCTTTGGTTATATTTATGTATGTATTACATTTTCAAACATTTCTCAAAGAAATTTAGGCACTTAGGGATCTCTAAAAAGATTAAATGCATACAGCATAAGCATTTGTATGATAAATACCTGAAGGTTCCATAGGCTATAAGAATTTTTTTATTGTAATAAGACAATAATATGTATAAAATGTATCCATTTAATTTTTAGCCAGAAGATTGAAAGTGAAAAGAGGTTAACAGAACTACAAATCCAGTAAATTACTATACATACATATGTATGTACATGCATGCATAAGTTTATAAACCCATAAGTGAGTACATGAATGTAGCCAAGATTAATATAAACAAGTAAGAAAGTCTAAGTTCGGGTGGAGCCGAACATTAAATACCCGGCGCAAATATTAAATATATGTTTTTTCACCTTTCCGAAAGCTACCGCTAGATGGTAAGCCGGGGTATATCAATTTTGAGTAAATTAGCGTCTTTAAATTTCGAAATATTGCAGTTTCAAGCATTTCTGAAATTTACCGCTATATGAAAAGCGGCCGTAATTTTAGTCCGATTTCAATAATTTTCAACGTTTTGCTTTTATGTGGCAAGCACAATAAAAATACCGAGTTTGGTACAAATTGGTAGAACGGTTACCGATAATGGGCGGTGCCACGCCCATTTTTCAAAATTTTACCATAAGCGTATTTCTTGGTAAAGAATTGTTGCAAGCATCAATTTTGAATAAATTAGCTTTAATATTTACTGATTTATCGAAGATTTTGTATTTCTCTAAATTACCGTTATATGGGATGTGGGCGTGGTTATTGT